GAGTCACTTCATTGGATTCCCTTGGCAGATGTTATCCTCTGCATCGACACTGTGGCCTTCCCCACTAACTCTTCACATATTTCTCGTCCCTTTGCTTTCACTAAATTTTAAAACATGTCTGTATGTTGTTTTCTAATTAGTGGAATAACAAAAAAAAAATATTAAAGGCTTAAATGAAGTGTACCAAAAAGATGTTGCCAGCTTAATTAGAGAACAAAATGGATTGAAAGTGTACAAAAATTTTGAGCTAACATAAAGATAATCATCCTTTTACATACATATAAATTTAATTTTAACTTTTTAACTTTCACATATTTGTAACTAGACAAAAAAACAGTTGAGCTTATATATCTGAGGGGACTTAGTTAATGATATCACCAATCTTTTACATATCCAATAAAGAGGGGGAATATACCAGAAACTATTTCTTATTTTCATTTTTATTATGAAAACTAGATGATAATCCGCGCCATGCGCAGAGTGAATTTTTAAAAATATATTGTATTCAATTACATATTTTGTTACACGTAATCTTTTTTTTTAATATATTTGATTAGGGATAGACATTCGGGTGGTTCGGTTAGGTTCTATTTGGTTTAGATCTTTGCGGATTTGGTTCGAATCTTTGCAAGCTCGGTTTGGGTTTTAGATTCTGATAACCCATTTAATTTTTTAAAAAAGTTTAAGGTTCATATATACTTTAAATTTCTGAAAATCTAAAAAAAAAAATAATATATAACATATAAATTTGAAAAATGTATGCCAAAATACTTAACATAAAATTGGTTTATCTTAAATATTTGGACAAACAATCAATAAATTTTTTAAATTGTTTTGGTTTTTGGAGTATCGTTTAGGTATTTTAAAGTATTTTGGAAAATTTAAAAAAGTTTCATGAATTTTTATCTTCTTAGATGTTAAAATTTAAAACAATTAATATATTTGTGTATATAAATCTGACTTGAATACTCTCGGATATCAGAAATATTTTGATTCAGTTTCTGTTCTCTAAAAATCAATACTTTGAATCCGTTTGGATATCTCACCAATTTTGGTTAATGTTTTGTACTAGTTTTTGGATTAGATTTGGTTCAATTATTTGGATTCATATTTTTTTGTTCAACCTTATATTTTTATTGTAACAGAATTTTAAACGTAAGGGATGATGGTTCATATTGATTTTTGATATGCGAAAATTTTTAAATCAAAACACACTCTATTATATGCGTGATCCATTTAATTAATAATTAAAAATGTTTACGACCCATTAAAAAAAGGATTGGATGAATTAAAAAGCGTTACCATTGATCAAAAATTTTTCAAAGTGAGATGTTTACCGTTTTTAGTAATTTATAGTCGTTTAAGAAAAAAATCTAAATATAACATATAAGAAAAAATCTAAATATTTTTATTATATGATAAATGTGATTATTTAAATTCTTTTAATAATATAAAATTAAATAAAACGTAAAGAGGATAAAAAATTGTTATCAAATCTTTACTATTCATAATAATTAATTATGATATAGATGTTAATCATATTAGGTAATTTCGTAGCTTTTATTTAAGGAAATACAGAGAATATTCTTTGTACACTAGTAATTATATATGATACAGTGAAACCTCTATAAATTAATAAAGTTGGGACTACACCAAAATTTTATTCTTTTATTAATTTATCGATATACTAAGTGAACCAAAAACTCAATTTGAGACTATAAAATTATATTATTTTATAGAGATATTTAGTGTATATTAATTTATCGAATATTAATTTATTGAGGTTTTACTGTAGTTAGTTTAATAAAAATGTAGCATATGTTTAGTTGGACCAACATATTTCTCTAAGAATTTTGAAAATCATTCTCATTGTGACACACGTGACTATAAAAAAAATGTTGTAATGCTTAAAGATCAGTATATAGGGGATAAGAAATGTGTGCATACATACAATGCTAATAGTTCTCGAGAGTCATAAATTGAGCGCCGTAAACTTGAAAGATCATCTCTAGTGGAATATTATTTTGAATGAAAACATTAAAAAAAGAAGTGGAATATTATTTGAGTGAAAACATACAAAAATGAGGGAAAATCTTCTCTAATAGTGCATTATTTTGTTCCCACATTTTTTATGTTTTCTCTCATTTTGTGTTAAGTTATTTATTTATAAATTAATTTAAACTTGTACATATTTTTAAAAAAAACTGCATATTTTTGGTACTTTTAACAAAATTATTAATACTTTCATATTTTAATTATAAATTTATTGTTAAAAATAATTATAAATTTTTACAAACACGTTTATCATTTTTTTAGAAATAAACTTATACACATAATGAAGATATAATTAAAATATCATGCTTGGTTAAAACTTGTAAGTTTTATAAATAGTAACAACATAATATATTTGAAATTATTCTTTTTAAGGGAGAAATGAAGAGAATATTAAAGCAAAACAAATTTATTTTAGGTTTACATCAGTTTAAGGAAAAAATATGATGTAAATCACTGGAGATATCCTAACCAAATATGATAGATGTTGTTGTCTTATGGTCTGTAGTGTAACTGTGGTTTTATAATATAAGCGGTGCAGAATGACAATACGATACAGTTCAAGTATTATACATACATAATGCAAAATAAGTGTGATTTTGGTAAAAAAAAAAGAAATGTGAATTTGACTGAAAGTATAAATTTAAATATAAAGTAAAATGATTTAGAAAAATAAATTAAAATAAAAATATTAATATTAATATTAATATAACCAAAAATTGTTGGTTTAGTGATAATATCATAATATTCTATTTTTTATCAATATTTATTTTAAAATTTATTTGAATAAAAAATCAAGTATTCAAATAGTTGTAGATTTTCAGATGATAAATTTAAATAACTATATAACTGTTCAATTTTATCAAATTGTTGTAAGCATTTTAAATTTACTAATAATACTAGATGATAATCCGCGCAATGCGAGGAGTGAATTTTTTAAATAATATGTTGTATTTAAATACATATATATATTTTGTTATCAATAATATTCTTTTACATTTGATTAAAGATGAACATTTGGGTACCATTTGGTTTGGTTAGATTCTGTTTAATTTAAATCTTTGCGGGTTTGGTTTGAATCTTTTCAGGTTCAGTTTGGGTTTAGGTTCGGATAATTCATTTAATTTTTTTAAAAAGATTATAGTTCATATATACTTTAAATTTCTCAAAATCTAAAAAGAAAATTAATATATAACATATAAATTTTTTAAAAATAAATGCCAAAATATTTAAACTTAACATAAAATTGGTTTATCTTAAATATTTGGACAAAAAATCAATAAATATTTCAAGTATTTTGGTATTTGGAGTATCGTTTAACTATTTTAAAAATGTACATTTAACTATTTTATATATTTCAAAGTATTTTGGAAAATTTTAAAACAACTTTAAGTATAAATCTGGTTCGAGTACATCCGAATACCTAAAATATTTCGATTCAGTTTCAGTTCTCTAGATATCAAAATTTTGAATTTGTTTGGATATCTAACCAATTTTGGTTAAATCTCTGTAGTACTTTTTGGATTAGATTTGGTTCAGTTATTTGGATTCAGTTTTTTGCTCAATCCTATATTTTTTATTGTAACAAAATTATAAACGAAAGGAATGATGGTTCATATTGATTTTTGGTATGCAACAATTTTTAAACCAAAACACTTTATTATGTACGTGATTCATTTAGTAAATCATTAAAAATTGTTTAAGACCCATTACAAATGATTGGCTAAACTAAAAAAACGTTACTATTGATCACAAAATTTTAAATGTGAGTTTTTTACCATTTTAAAAAAATTCAAAATATAATATATGAAAAAATAAATTTGTTTATTATATGATTAATGTGACTATTTAATTTTTTTTAATAATATAAAATTAAATAAAAAGTAAAGAGGATAAAAATTGTTATCAAATATATATTATTCATAATCATTAATTATGATATATATATTAATCATATTAGATAATTCTGTAGCTTTTATTTAATGAAATAATATAAAATATTATTTTGTACACTATTAATAAAATATGATAGTTAGCATGATAAAAATATAACATATGTTTAGTTGGACTAACATATTTCTCTAAGACCAACATATTTCTCTAAAAAATTTGAAAATCATTCTCATTGAGATACATGGCTACAAAAAAGTGTTGTAATGCTTCAAAATTAATATATGAGGGATTTGATAGTTACAAGAAAACACAGATGCCCCACACTATAGAGCACTATAACAAATAGTACGATATGAAAGTTGCGTTATTTGTATGAGACTGAACAAACAAAAAAAAATATTTATGTAAGTGCGTTATTTCAGCAAAAAATGCTCCTTAGATTACATATTTACTGATGATTGGTTACATTTACAGTTTTAAGTCACACCGACTTCAATTACGCACCGCACTATGGTCTACACTTATAATCTTCCTGTATATACCTATTAGAATAAATATTTATTCTCAGTTCAGTTTCTGTTTTTTTTTTGTTCACCCGAATTTCGGATTCTTTAACTAGATCTGTTAATTTTTTAATAAAAAATTATGTATATTTTCCAGTTTAGTTATCCAGGTCACCTCAAATTTTAGTAATACATTTGACGTATAAAAAAACTTTTTCATCGTTTTATTCTAAAAATGAGTATAACTAGATTAATTATTCATTCAAAAATTTTACTCCAATTTTTAAAAACTATTTTCTCTCTTTCCCATTTCATTTTTTTCCACCAGTTTACTCTGTCATTAACCAATCACACTCTTAATAATACTGGGACCAAACCTCAGTGTGATTTTCCGCGTAGAAAACGACTGTTTATAATATCTATCAAATGCACGATGAAAGTGAAAAAACTAGTGACGAAGGACGATACGTTAGGTGAAAAAAAAATACGAAAATCGACAAAACTAATTGCTCAGAACCTAAACACTTGCAACCCAACACATATATATTAATCAAGAGAAGTATAAATAATAAAAAGTTGGGTATCAATTACAGAATAGTTTGTAGTTCATTTTAGTAATACTAATACCCTACCACAAAACTCAGATCGACTTCATTCAAATCTTCCAAAAAAAAACAAGCACCAAAGGAACAAAATGTTCAACAAACCAAAACAATAAGAAAAAAATTAAAACATCACTCGAAACATTGTAATACACTCTTTTATTGTATTAACAAAAGCAAAGAGATGAAACGTTAATCATCTTATCATACTACTTTCTCTATCGATCGATCCTATCACCAATAACTAAAGGACTACAAATATTTATTATCAATCGTGTGCTTTGACGAAGAAGAGCTCTATCTCCCGAGGAGTAAAGAAAACGATCTGCCTCCGTCGTAACAGGCAGTTCTGTGGGACTCTTTGCTTCTTTGGCGCCGGTGGACACGTCAGAATCTCCGGTATTCGAGACTTCTGAGCTTTCGGGGTACAACAACCGCCACCACCATCATCTGGTGATGGCAACACCGTTGGAGAAGGAGAGGGGATAGAGTGGTTTGTATCTTGAGAAGATACTGACTTGGTAATGGAAGAACACGAAGAGACAGTAGTAGCAGTAGATGAAGAAGTATGATCAAGAACAATAGTTGTGTCGGTGTTCTTGTGTTGTGGAAGTTGTTTCTTGAAATGGGTTCTTTTGAGTTTCTTCTCAGCTCGGTTTGGTTTCTTTGCCTTCTTTGACGCCATTGTAGACCTACTGAAAGATGGTTCTTTTCTAGAAAAGAAAAAGAGGAAGTTTTTTTGGGCGAGGTTAGGTGAGAGAGTAGCAAAGAAGAGAGTCGTTGTTTGTTTACTTATTATATAGTAGTATGAGATATGAGTCAACACGTTAATGACTTTGACTGCGTAAAGTTTTCACTGAGACGAACTTTAGAAAAAGTAATGGACTGACATTTAAAAAGGTAAAAAGATTTATTTATTTTATAGTAGTACTAGGTGATTTTCCCGTGCTCATGCACGGGTATGAATATTCATAAAAATAAAATTTAATAATAATTGATAGATATTTAATTTTAGTTTTGAATAAATTTATATGTATAATTTATATTAATAAATATTATATTATTCTAATTATACATATGACTTTGGATATATTATTCTCGGTTTAATTATTTTTTGGATAATAGTCGGTTTAGTTGTCAATTTGGTATATTGGATAATATCTATTTTTCGAATTAAGCTATAATATTTTTATTCTAAATATAATAAAACTTTGATTAATTTTCTTATTTTAATTTTGGTTGGTTATTATCTTAGATATGTAAATATATTTCTTAGATATGTAAATATATTATAGTTAAATTATGTATAACTTAATATATATTGTGCTTAAAATAAAATAAATAATAAGCTGAAGTGTTTGATTCAAAATTACATAATGAATATAATGATAATATTTTGAAGTCTCATGTATATATATAAATTCTACAAAAGAATTAAATTGTAATTGTTAATATTTTATTTTTCTTTTTAATATGCTTTGAGTCAACCTCTATTTATATGTATAAAATTAAATAGATTATTATTATTATTATTATTATTATTATTATTATTATATGTTTTTATTGTAGTTAGATGTTTAATTTTGAATATAAATTAGATTAGTCAAAAAAAATTAGATTAGTCAATTCATTCATTTTGTGAGTATATTGAGTTAAATATATTTTTAAATTAAAATTGAAGTATAATTACTTTTTTAGTTAAGTCAAATTAAATTAATTTTTTATCGATTAAATATACATGTATTTTCATAATATTTATTTACTCTTTATTTTAGTTAAGTCAAATCAAATTAGTTTATTTATCGCTTAAATATACATGTATTTTCATAATATTTATCCAATTATATGTTGGTTTCTAAAGAATATTAGAAAATAAAGTGTAATTGATAAATTTTTGAATGTTCATGAACATATATATTTTTATTATTTTGAAAATATATTTTATGTTATTTAAAAATATATATTAATGGTGCATTACTATTAATTTTGTGAACTTTCCTTTTTTAAAAAGTCATATTATGTATATATATTTTCGTTTTTAATTTGTTGTAAAATTTTAGAAATATTTCCTTTTTATTATATATGTTATTTGAGAATAGGTAAAAAAGAAACTAAATAAAAATATTAATAATAATCTTAAAATCTAAAAATTCATTAAGGGTATCTATGTAATCAACCATCGCGAGAGTTAACGTGAGCGTGACACATAAGCAAGTGACTTCTCAAATAATATTATAGAGATATTTTAAGGATCGATTGCATGTAATCTTTTTTTTTCTTTGAAGAACGAGTGTATGTAGTTGCTGACCAACAAAATGGGTCGTATATTTGTCTTTGCCATAAGGCATTGACAAGGTATAAAAGCACTCCTAATGATAGATTCTAATTTGTATATATTAAGATTTTATTTAATTGTGAAATTTTTAATTTTACGGAAAATCTAAACAAAAATATCTATGCAGAGATTTTTTAAGTTAATTACTGTAAAATTTAAAATCTTATAATTAAATATTAATATATATACATATATATGTATTTTGTGAATTTCAAAACTATAATTTTCCATTAGAGATACTTAAGAAAATAGTGATCAGTTGAATTTTACTACTAGTTTGTTTGCACCAACCAAAAGAAAAAGAAAATAAAACACAAAAATTTATCTTTTAGTTAGCTGAAAAGGGGTGTTTTTAGTTAGCTGAAAAGGGGTGTACAAAACATATGAAGAACAACATATATTCCTATGAACTTCATTCTCTTTTTCTTTTTTGAGAAAGAAGAGTAAGTTGCAGTGGTTATAAACTTCACTTTATTTAAAGAAAATATGTTTTTTAATCAAACTCAACTTGTTGCTCTAATATTATCAGCAAAAAAAAATTTACCAGCAGACAAAGCTTAATAATTAAAGAACCCATGTGAAATATTAAAATCAAGATATGCAGGCTGCATGTATGGTTTCCGTATACCGTGCAACAATCAGATATATAATATGAAAGATTTATACTTTCGGTGAGAAATTAAAAGTTAACAAATAAAAAACAGGGGTACTGTATTTTGTTCATTAATGTTAAAGTTCAAAATGTTGCAAGGTTAATTAGTGTTCGATGCCAGTTCTCAAAAAAATAAGGTTGGTGTTCTTTAATAGAAATTTTTAGTGAGCCACTACAAGAAAGGTTTTAAAAGTTACTAGTATAAATAAAAATAGAGATATCTTTGTAAGGTAACATAGATGATGTCATAAATTCAGGTTTACAGTAATTTTTGGAAGTAGTAAAACATTTCTATTAATATTCATAAATGGTGTATGTCCCCAAAAAGGGCAAACTATTTGGATTTGGATGCTCAGATGGACCCGACAGCGACAAACGAGAAAATTGACCTTTTTCCATTTTAATTTACCACTAGATTTTGACCCGCCCTTAAAGAGGGCGGGACAACCGTTTTTACTTTAAATTTATGCCCTTGTTCGATTATTCACAAGTATGTATAGGTGAGTATCCGGGTTCTGATAGATTGTCGTTAATAATTTTGGTTTGATCTGACATATATAGATTAAATACGATTACGTAAAATTTAATGTGTGGTATAGGATTGATTTT